CCTGCTTTTTGCTTGTTTCACCGTTCCAGGGGGAGCCAGGAAGATTCGGGGAGCCAGGGGATCCTGGGGAAGACGTGAGTAGGAGACACATGGTGCCTGGGGGTGGGCGTTGGGGGCAGCAGATGCTGTTGAGGGGGAAAACCTGTGCCCCTGCCACCCACTGCCCAGCCCTTCCTGGTAGCTTGGTGTCTTCATAGGGAGCCAAGGGATCCTCTGGAGCCAAAGGGGAGAAGGTAAGTGTCTCCTGGTCCCTGGGGTGTGGGATGCTCCCAGCTCTGTGGGGCCACTCTGGGTGGCACAATGCCCCTGTGCCGGGGGACACACTGTGTGCTCTGCTACCATGCAGGGATCGCCAGGTGTTGGTGTTCGGGGACCTCCAAGCTTGGTGTCTTCATAGGGAGCCAAGGGATCCTCTGGAGCCAAAGGGGAGAAGGTAAGTGTCTCCTGGTCCCTGGGGTGTGGGATGCTCCCAGCTCTGTGGGGCCACTCTGGGTGGCACAATGCCCCTGTGCCGGGGGACACACTGTGTGCTCTGCTACCATGCAGGGATCGCCAGGTGTTGGTGTTCGGGGACCTCCAGGGCAGGATGGACCTCGCGGGTTGAAGGTACCCCCTTACCCCCATGTCACCCTTGCTTTTGCTCTGTCCCCAACACCCAAGTGCTGCCCTGACTCAGCCAGTCGTGGGAGAAGGATGTGACTGGGGGCTGTTTCTCTGGACCTCATCTTTTTCCTCCCTGCTGCAGGGTGACATCGGCTTGCCAGGACCCCCAGGGCCGCCAGGCTTAGCAGGCATCGCTGGGACACCAGGACAGCCAGGCCTGAGAGGAGACAACGGGCAGCCTGGCCCACCAGGTCCCCCGGGAGAGAGGGTAAAGGCTATGGCCAGTGCTCAGCCTCACTTGTCTGGGTGACCCTGGACCCTCAGGCAGTATGAGTGGGATCCCTCCCAATCAGGGCTCCTGCCCGCTCACCATGTTTCCCTAACAGGGTTTGATCGGCTTTCCTGGGAGAGACGGCACCTCTGGAGCACCAGGACCCGTGGGACCCCCCGGGCCAGCTGTGAGTATGGGGATCTGGTGCCTCAGCATCGCTGGGGGTGCAGGCTCTGCTCTGGCTCCCCCACCAGCTCGGGCAGGGTGACGGGGACCCACGCTGCACCTTCCCTCCCCCGGGGGCTGGGGGTTGCCAGGGCTCTGGCATGGGCCAGGAGCTCCTCTGGAAGCCCCAGGGATG